GGCCCCTAACAACAGGAACATTTTAGCTTGAGGGTCACATGGAAGTTTCGACTACTTACTTACCTCTATTGACCACTATCACAGAGTGTGACAACAGCCACAGACATGTGAACAAGTAAGCGTGGCTGGGGACCCATACAACTTCAGAAGAACAGGCAAAAAACGCCGGGTTGGCCTGTGGCCACAGTTGGTCAGCCTCACCTTTACAATACCTAGGTACTACTGCACCCGTCTCAGATCTTACAGATGAGAACAGTCCTAGGTGACAGCAGTGTCAGCGAGGCTGTTCCCTCTCAGTGCACAGGCCTCTGTGGAAGCTGTCATTGGGAGGTCACAGGGTGACTCCCACTTGGTGGGGTCTCCTGAAGCTTCCTCTTCGTCTCCCGGGGCAGCTGGAGGAAGCACATGAAGTACTGTCCACACAGACGTCCAGCGCTGTAACTGGGGCTCTAAGCGGCTCCTCCGTTCTGGAAGAGGTCCTTGGTGGCAAGAATAATTGGTGGCTGAAAGGGCACTTCAAATGAGTTTATTTAGGACTGCCAAGGAAAGTGTCTGCTTTTATTCGAATGAAACGAAAAAGTCTGACAAAGGCTCCATCTTGAGAACATAAATATGAAATAAAGAAAATACGTTTCATTTATCTGGCACTAGGGGAGGAAAACAAGGAAGTTGGTTATAATCGTCCCCAGAAGCCAACTCCTGGGGTGGGCACTCAAGCACGTCCTGGTGCGATTCTTCCCCAACACCACGTGCCAGCACTGCGTGGTCCCTGCTGCGGTCCAGCTGCAGGCCTAACTTGGAGAAGCCACTTTTACAAAAACACCTGAGGATGCCATCAACTCCCCTTAGGCCTCTCTTCCCCACCTGACATGCAAACTGTCCTCTTCTGAAGTCCTATGCTTTCATTTTGATGAGAAGATCTCCAACAGCAATGGCTTTGTGTGTGCCACTCAAGTTCTCCAAAACACTTCTGCTGGCTATGAAATGACTTCACAATCACCAGGCCGCTGGAAGGACGGACCCACCTGCTGTAACTACACGCGAGGGGCCTGGCGTCACATAGGAGGACATGGCCTGGTCAGGTCCTCCCACAAGGGGCCCACTGCATGATGACTTCTGGGTCAATGATAAACCTCCTAGTACAGAGAGCTGAGTAATAAACACTCAAACGCCAGAAAAGATCGTGCAAGGCCCACGACACAAAGAGGGAACGAGCAGGGAGAGGGTCTTCTCATTTCTTTCCGATCAGCTAACATGACTTCCCAGGCACTGGTGCTGCGGCCTCAGCCATTCCAGACAACAATGGGTAGTGACCTTTCCAAAGGACAGAGTGGTGGCCACCAAGGTCTACGGATCCAGACTCCGTACAGCTGGGAGAAGGCATGGGGCGGTGGGCTCAGGGGAGCAGACGCCTGGCGGGTGAGTGAGGGGACGGGCGGGACCCCTGGGCTCCCAGACAGCTACGTCTGGGCCGGGTGGCTCCCACCTAGTCTGCCGGAGCTCCCACTGGAACTGACAACGCACACATCACAGCTGTCTCAGATAAGGCTGTGCTGACACGTTTCCTGTCTCAGGTCTGCTTTCAAGCACTGAGGCCCTGGCATCCATCAGCTGCTCTGCTTTGATAGGCTGGTTGGGAACAAGATGAGGCGGCAGCTGAGAAGGGGAGGAGGCTGAGGGTGAGGCTGAGACACAGCATCTTGAGGAAGCGGGTGGGAGGCACAGGCCGTCCCTTCCCGCCTCCCAACCCTTTTCCTCTCTGGGGGCTTCGCCGAACCTCACACTGCACTGTGCTGCTGTGGCCATTCCGTAAATCCACAAGCATCTTGGACAATTTCACCAGCAGGCGTTTATTAAGCACAGCTGCAAGGCACTGTGTTAGCTCATCCATCCCACTTAAATCTCACACTTTATATGCTGTGAAGTTCCCTCTTTAGCTTTTAAAAGGCGGTTGTAAATGAGATGTGCTTAGTGCTCCCTCTACCACTAATTCCTGGCTGTCTGGGCTGGGGGCAGTCATTAGCAGGGACCTGAACGGTGCACACACGCCCTGGGCGCCCACGATGGCCTGACCCACCCTCTGATTCTGTGGCTCCAACTGGAGGAAGATGCACCCCAAGGCGCCGTGGGCAGAAGAGAGTAACAGTGATGCTGTTACGATGCGGGGCCGGGAAGGTGCGGATAAAAGACTTACTCGCTCTTGTCCTGCCGTGTCCCAGATCAGGAATTTATGGAGCTCATTCTGGTACTGGACAGTCTTGGTCATGAAAGACGCCCTATGAAGAGAGACCTCAGTGGTCAGAAAGCAGCATCGTGGGTATGTGTCACCCTCTGTCCGCCCTACAGCCCAGCCCTGTCCCTCTGTCAGTGCTGCATGACTCCTAGCCCACATCAACCGTAACTGCCCACATCCCCCCACACAGCCGTGGGCACCGACCTGGTGTCTGGACCTGTGGCTGTCAGACACCAGGTCGGTGCCCATGTGGACACCCAGGGGTCCAGACACCAGGTCAATGCCCCCATGGACACCCAGGGGTGCAGACACCAGGTATGTGACCATGTGGATGCCCAGAGACCAGGTCAGTGTCCACGTGGACGCCCACAGATCCAGACACCAGGTGTGTGACCATGTGGATGCCCATGGGCCCAGATACCAGGTCGGCGCCCGTGTCCAGGGTCCCAGACACCAGGTCGGTGCCCACATGGATGTCCAGGGGCCCAGACACCAGGTCGGCACCCATGTCCAGGGGCCCAGACACTGGGTCAGTGCCCACATGGACACCGAGGGGCCCAGGTGCCCAGTCAGATGTCCTGCTTGGGGCTGGGTGGCTCCAGCTGGACCGTTAGTTCCCCTCCACATCTTGCCTGGAGGTTCTTCCACCTCATCTTCATGCAGGGCCCAGAGGAAGTGTCACTTGTTCCCTTGGGGGAGCCTCTAGGGCCTGGGGCCAAGCTGTCCACCTGGACTCCCATTGCTGGCTCCCCTGCCCAGACATGGACAGATGGGTGGGCTCTTCCAGATGTGCTGAGTGCCGGAAACAGTAACAGAATCTTCAGAAAGCACCAGCTAACTTCAAAAGCACAATTTCTAAAAGAATCATTGAGCTTAGGGAAGTGTCAAGTGCTCACGTTTTGAAAATGTAAACTCTGAGACAATGATTTAGATCAAGCGATGGCTTCGCAAGCAGCTTCCTAGACAGTGAGTGCACTGCGCAGACGCGGGGAGGTTAGCTAACACTCCTGGGTGTTTACGTTCTGGAAAACTCCTCGGTGCCCTCTGTGCAGTGCAGTGTGCACAGAAGGTGTGGAGTGAGTGGATACTTCATCAGGAACGCTGGGCAACACACCACAATTACATCAGGATGGGTGCCATGGCTTCTTACTTAGGAAAAGACCCAAGTATTCAAAAAACCTTGTTTATCATGAGGATTAAATGGGAAGATGAATGTCAAAGTGCTCTGTAAATTGTAAAGCACTTCATCTACACAGGCATTATGATTTTACAGGCAGCTTCAGGTGTGAGCTGAGAGCTGGTAATTAGTCCTAAAAGCTTGTAAATCAGCTTTCCATCAACTCCTGCCGCGGCGCACACTGACCGACAGAGGCCGGCGCAGCCCCCTCGTCCAGTCGGGCTGCCCACAGACCACAGGAGAAATCTGCTCTTAGCAGACAAGTCACTGCTTGGACAGGGCACACAACACCCAGAATGGAAGCGTCACTGCAGGGAAGTCTCCTCGAGGGCTGCTGACCTGACGCGCGTCCTTCAGCCCTTCGCCTCCTCACACACGCCTCCTTCTCACTGACGCTCTGGTCTTCTTGCATCCTAGTTCTTTCATGGTCACCCCGTGGTCTGCTGGCTCCCTGGGCTTTGACCAGCATCACTGGCCTCAGAGCCATCTCATCAGGTGTCTGAACACCTCCTAACACAGTGGTGGGGTGGCTGTCATGCTGGAGGGACATCACCAAGCTGTGCAGTGTGGAGACGCTGGCCACTGCGGCTTGGACTGGCTCTCAGGGCTTCTTCCGTCTCACACTAAGACACCACCTTCTTACTGCCCCTCTCTGGCTCCTGACTGCTTCCAAACACCTTTCGGGAGTTAAGCTTGTGCAGGACTCTGAGCGAGGTCACAGACCCTGGTCCCCCCCCAAGCTCCCCATGCCAACCCTCCCAAATAGAAAGACAGTCTTCCCTTCACATGGGCTCCAGCCTTTACGGACAGCAGATCGGAATCCCGCTGTGTCCTGTTGTCTTGGATATGCCTGGGTCACTGTCGTGGGCACTGCCCATGCCTCTTGCTGAAGGCCTTTACCACTGCAGCAGGCAAGCAAGCGCTGCCATCCTCAAACCCCTCAGCAGTGCATGGTTCTCTCCACGCCTGCTACGTCTCTATCAGAGATGGACTCCAACCAGTGCAGGGCTAACTATGGCCTGGAAAGAGTCTTTTTTTTTAAAATACTGCTTTGCATTGGTATACATTGTGTTTCATTCAAGTACACTGTTTCCCACATTCCTTCACGTACATTGTATTTTATCTCCATTCATACACCTTGCATTTTATAAAATCAATTGCTATTGATCTATGCCTTCTGGTACTCTGTCCTTTCAGGCCCTAGTGGATCTTTACTAACCCCTCCCTCTGCCACCAAATTCTGTCACCCCTCATGGTATTCCCCGCCCCCGCTGCACGCTTCTTCCCCCTCCCCTCTTGGACTTTTACACACATCTTGCTAGTTGTCCTTCGGTTTTTATAGTCATGGTCTCATGCAGTATTTGTCCTTAGGAGACTGAGTTAGTCCACTCAACATAATGCTTTCTAGACTCTCCCACATTATGCAGTATTTTAGGAAATCATTGTTTCTTAGTGTTGCATAGTATTCTGCTGTGTGAAGGTACCATAATTTCTCAATCCTCTAGTTTGCTGATGGATATTTGTGCTATTTCCATTTTCTTGTGACTGTGAATAATACTGACATGAGCATTAGTGTACGCCTGGAAATATTATTCCTGCTCAGCTTCTGGTTTCAATCCCTACCCTCAGACAACAAGCAACAAGAATTCCGTAAGTTACAGTGAAGAATCACTCACTCCATCCATCCACCCATCATCCATCCATCCATCCATCCATCCATCCATCCACCCACATCCATCCATCCCCTCAGAATCCTGCTGTGAGAAGTCTGTAGCACTTTCTCCTATGGTGGTCTCTTCTTGCTATCTTCTTAGATGCTGGATCCAGTCTCACCTGATGCTGCTGAGAGGACCACAACCGACCACCTTTTTCCTCGTGGGAACAGCATGCCTCCTTAGAGCAGCAAGCATCCCAGCTAGTTTTAGGAGACAATAAAACGTGAGCCTATCACACGTGGGTCCTGGTTCTTCCAGGAACTTGGAGCCTCGCCGGGTTAGGGTGCTGCCTGTTGATGTTCCCTGATGTCCACCAGCTCCTACTGCGAGCTGAGCTGGGCATGCTGCAGAAGACCTCCACCGGTGAACGGTACCTCTGCTGTGGATAGAGCATTTGTGCTTCTGACCGACGTCAGTTTAGCTCGACACCCCATCACCATGTCCAACGTGGTGAAGACAGGACTCATTTTCATCACTCACCCGCCACTGTGCCTCGTTCCATGTTCTTGATCATAGTCCGTGACGTCTGCCTTTCACGTGAGGGGGACTGATCTGTAACTGTTCAGTGCCCTTTTTTTTTGCTTGCATCCAATCTTGCAATGAAGCTGTCTGGTTCCCCCTTTTATATTTAATCTACACTTGAACCTCAACCCATGAAATAAATTCATAAACTGGGCCCTAATCTTCACTCAGGACTGCTATCCTTTTCCCTTCCACTGTCACTCTGACTCCAGACTCCCTCCTTTAACGTCCACGTTAACTGATGAGGACGGGCTGATACCGCCAGTATCTTGCTTTCTGAAAAACAGGCAATGGCTTCCTGCCATCCAAATGATATATTTTTATTTCCCAGCCTGCCATTTACTTGTCTGATAACCTTATTTTTCACTAGTAAACCATCTCTCTTCACTCTGGCTCGGCAGATCTTATTACCTCTTTAATCTAAAATCCCTACCAGCATTATTTCCTAAAGCTAGAATGCCTTTCATATACTTCTCCATATTTCATGACATTCTAAAAAATAAGACAGTCCCCATGCCAAGCAGCCACGCTCTTCAGGCAGGGTACGTGTCCTCAATGAAAACACGCCCACGACTCTCCTTCTTATGACACCTGTCAGTCTGGGGCATGAGGACAGGCTGAGGGCTCAGCCTAGGGCCATCGCTGACCACAAGTCCTACTTTGCAGAAGGCACATGGACCCTGGCACCCTTCTGCCTGCACCATGCCTACTTGTGGATAACCACCTCAGCGTGCTGCGGACCAGCCAAGCAGCAGGCCTTCCAGAGAAGCTGTAACAGCGGCTGGATTCCAACTCCCAGCAGCCCTGTGGGTCAGGGCAGGGCTACTCACGGGTCTCAGGGCAGAGCCACTGACGGGGTCTCAGGGCAGAGCCACTCACGGGGTCTCAGGGCAGAGTCACAGGGTCTCCGAGGCTGCAATCTTCATGGGAGCGGACCACCAAGCCATTCTCAGGAGAAGCCGTGAGTGGTTCCAAACTATCGACACCTGGTTAGAAGCTGAATGCTTCACCACTGTATTACCAACTCTCCTTTTATTACCATGATCATCATCCAAGAAGGACGTGGGTCAATCACCATGTACTCACTGAGCAGCTCCAAGCGCTGGTACGGGACTGGACTCTGGGATGAAAGAGAGAGCCAGGCCGTCCTCCCTTACAGAGCTCTGGACACTGAGATGGTAGAGAGAGAAAGCCAAGCCTGAACCACCACCGTGGAGCCCATGTCGACCACAGCGCACAGAGGACAATGCAGAGCCGCCCCACAGCCTCTACCAGGAGCTTCTCTCAGGCTGTATCACTACAGAAGCAGCCTTGTCTCCTGCTGACCCTGGGTCTCTGCACTGTGTACGCATGGGGTCACCACTGAGCTCTCCAAGGTGACAATGCCAAACTCCTAGAGGCCCAGGAGCCTGATACAGGTCCTCCCCTGGAGACACAAGGGGGCTCAGAAGGGTCTGGGCTGCAGAGGTGCTTGCACGGTGTTTGACTCGACAACATCACCCCTTCTCATGTTAAAGGATCTTAGCCCTACCTCTGCTTTTGGTCATTAAAGTCTGCCCTAAAAATATCTGCTCAAGTCTTCTGTAAATATATGTGTTCATTTCTCTCATTTAAATACCTAAGGATGGA